ACAGCCCAATGAACATCACCGCAGAGGAGCCAATCAGCTAGATGTTGCTGGGGCTGCTGTGAGCCAATCATCAGCTGGCATTCTGAAGGGCAGGGAAACAGCCCAATGAACATCACCTCAGAGGAGCCAATCAGCTAGATGTTGCTGGGGCCACTGTTTGCTGGCAGCTGGAAGTTTGCTGGGGCCCCTTTGGCTGTGGCTCTCAACACCAAACTATGTACTTTTGTGAGGTTTTGAATACCAGGTTAGAGAACCTCCTGAATTTTCTACCCAATGCCCCATAAAATCTGATATTTCCCAATCTGGCTCGTAGGAACAGGTGTTATTCTTGTGCACTGCGTGAGCATCAGGTATTATTCCCTCTGATTGATTTGAGTGTTTCTTCCCTCAGCCTCCAACCAGTTCCTTACACGTTTTGTTCAGTACTATGCTGAATACTCAACAGAGAACCAGCACATTCCAGGGTTCCCTTTGTATGCAGACCTTTCCTCTCTGGTATTCTGTTCAGTGAGCTCTAGTCAACTTCTTTTCCTGGATTCTTAATCTCTCAACTCACATTTTCTGTCTTGATTCCCTCTCCTGTGCTGTGGCCTGAGAACTCCCAAGGCTCCAACCTGGGCCAATTGTAGGCTCACTATGTGTCTTGCCTCGCTCAGGGATCTTAGTTCTTTTCTAGCAAAAGCCCAGTGTCTTGAAGACTTTTGCTATTCACATTTTTTTTTCCTGGTTGATTCAGATAGAGGATTCTTTGTTACTCATCTTGTCTTTTGTTTTTGATGCACTTGGATCACACCAGTCCTATTGTTTTGTGTTTTCTCTTTGTGTACCTTTCTTGTGCTCCCGTTAAGTTTTCTGCCCTGTTTTACCATGTGAGTTTGGGATCGTGCCTGTCTTCTATATTGAATTGGACTTTAGCTATCCAATGTGGTTAATTCAGTATGATTAATATTGCTCTCTCTACACATATATGGTTCCTCCGATTATGGAGGCTGGAGAATCTGCAGAGTGGCCCAGTAGGAAGTAGACCAGGGAAGGTTCTATTCAGTCCTTCAGCTGAGAATGAAGCCTGCCATTCTCCGTGACTCACAGCTCACCTATTCAAACGTTACTCGCATCTAAAACCTTCATAGAGACATCCAGAATAATGTCTGACCATATACCTGGATGCTGTGACCCAGGCCAGTTGTCACAAAACTTCACAACTGTAAAACGTGACACGCTTGCTGAAAGAGGAGCAGAAGTAGTGTACTAGCCAAGGCCAGTTGTGCTAGGGTGAGTGAGGTAGGTTGCCACGAGACCAAAGAAGACGCTCAGAGATGAGACATGAGACATAGGATTTATTAAGAAATGCTGACAGGGAACATCCAGAGGTGACAGACAGACTGCCAAAATTCC